ATGACTTAGACATAAGAAATCATAGGAAATCATGATTTTTTTAATTTCCTATGTCCAAGCCAGTCACAATTTCCTATGATTGAAATGAGAAGTCATAGTCACGATATTCACATAGCTTTGCATATGCATTTTTCATAGGAGTAACAAGATTTTCTCCCTACTCTAATACACCTTTATGTTCTTCCTGTCCAAAACTATGTTGGAGTAGATTTCATAAGAAACACATCCGGAATAGTCATTAGCAGATTGATTATTCATGAAACGAAACGTAGATGTCGAAACAAACAGTGATAAACTGGGTACACAACGACAACGTCTGAAAATTGAAACGAAAACTCAGAGTGTGCTGAATGAAAGAAATGACAAGATCATAAGTAAGTGTAATCAGAACTATTGGGAACTTCATGTACATTCATATGTATATTGTCTACAGATTTCCTCAGGATTGACAAAAGTACAGAGTAAGACCACCAGCTAGACGAAATAACAGACTGAAAACTATTCTATCCACAACAACAACAACAACAAAGCTTTTTCCCACTAAGTGGGGTCGGCTATATGAATCTTAGAACGCCATTGCCCTCGGTTCTATATCATGTCTTCCGTGTAAATAAAAAGACTGAAAACTAAAAAACTAACTATGATTAAACCGGAAGTCGGAAAGAAAAAGCTGAAAGGTAACCGTGCTCATCTGATTCACGCAAGGCGTGTATACTCCGTGTAAAGTCCTCTTCCTCCCGCTCCGCTTCTAGATGATGATGATGGTGAGCAAGCAACTCAAGAGAACATGGAGAACCGAGGCCCGTGGCCTTCCTATGTTTCCAACCACAACTGGCAAAATAATGATCTGAGGAGGGAACGGGATGATGGTGATGAGCAGAGTAGTGTGATCAGGTTCAGTAGCTTGATGTATATGATCTTGATTTGGGTCTTCATCATCCTCTCCTCCAATATTATTAAAGAATTCAGTAATCAAGTCCTCCTCATCATCCAACTCTCTTTCATCCGCGGTTCTTGGCCCCTCCTCAATCTCGTGATGATGATGACCGAGATGAGTAGTCAGCCGAGGCACACCAGCAGCCTCATCTGCAGCAGAGGCCGCAACAGCAGAATCAGGCAGAAGCTCAAACTCGTCAATAAAGGATCTTAACAGATCATCATCCAAGCAATCATTTGCTTCGGTGGTGCTGCTTGAGGACCCCTCGTGATGAAGTAGATCATCAAGCTCCCTAATCGAGTCCTCCATTACCAAAAGATCATCATCCGAATCATGAGTCCTCTGCCTCTTGACCGTATCACCCAAAACCATAACGGTATCATCGGAATCGGAATCAGGGAAACGCGGACGCTTGAGAGAAGAGACAGTGGGCCTCAAATCTTGACCCCTCATCTCCAATTTTCCAGTTTCTTCACGAAACACAAGACAAACAGACGAAAGCGGTGTGCTTTCTGCGAAAACCAAAAACCTAAGTGGATAATGTGGAAGAAGAAAAAGCAACACTTTCCAAACACAAGGGCTAATAAAGAAGATCAGCGAAGAGTGCGACTGAATTGATTTTACGGGATTTGGGGATTAGGGTTTCTTGTTACAGTGCTAGACAGACAGAAATTAACGATACCGAGAAATAAAACAGAAGAAAAGGCAAGAACTGAACCTGGAACTGGGAACAAGTCGTCGACTTTCTGCACAGAGAAGAGGATGTATTCGTTCCCAAATTTGAATCGAGCTTCCAATTTCTGCTCAGAGAGAGATCAAGCGAGAGAGAGAGAGAGAGAGAGAGCAACAAATTTGAATTGGGCTTCGAATTTGGACGCACACAGAGAGAACGCAACAACGCAACACGATCGTTTGAGCGAGAGAGAGAGAGCGAGAGAGCGATCCAGAGATCCAGTGAGGGAGTGGGACGGGGGTTTTGAAATTTAAAGAAGGGAAAATATGACCGTTTGGGAATAGTACCGCTTAAACGCGGGTTTCATCACGTGCCGTTTTCCCTCTGCTCTTCGGCGCCTGCGAGTGGGAACCACTCCCCAAAGGGCCCAACCCAACCACATTGCGTATCGAATGACTAAATTACCCACGAATTTCAAATCATGCAGATCGCAGAGCTCGGGGTATTAGTCAAACCAAAAACTCAAAAGCTCAAAGGATTGCAGAATCGTATCACTCTCTTGGTTACGAGTTGTTTGTTTGATCCAGATGTATAGAAGCGTGGCGTTTGGTAGTACGTGATGCGAGTAAGGTGTCCAATAAGATTTTGAAGTCGATAGAAGTAATCGCTGAATTTGTCCATCATTAATTATTTTGAGTTATTCAGTAAAAAATTGTATTAAATATGGATAAAATGACGAAAATGCTCTCAATTTAATAAACAATGAGTGAAAATAATTTAATAAAAATTAAGGATATTTTTATCATTTTATACTTATCTGATGAAAATTTTACACAGAATGACTAAAATGATTGATGGCGGACAAACTCAGAGACTACTTCTATAGAACTCAAATCTCAATGAACGAAATGACGAATTATGCTAATCTCAATAACCATTTTAGCTATAAAACTTTAATAGACCATTGAAACCAAAATTGTACAATGCCTCCTTCGTATTATTTCCACACACCTTTATTCCCAGCCCATCAAATTTCCTCAAGCATTACTTTTTTGCCATGATTTTCTAATTATTTAGACAAAACATTTTCCAACATCGATTGTACACATGTTTAATGACTTTGAAACAAAAAATGGCCACATGTTAATTAGCAAAATATATTTCAAGTAAAAATAGGATAGAATTGGCCAGTATCCTAAGCATCATCAACAAAGGTTAGGACAGAACAATACAAAATGAAACGTGAATTACCAAGAATTCCACCAACTCACATAAAAATGCTAATAAAAGTTAACTTTCAATGGTGTATCTGAAACTAAAACTAATCATGTTTTCACTTTGCACCACTCAATTCAACATAATTAATGAATATACTTCCAGACATTACAGGACCAATGACCCAGCACCGAGCCCTACACCGGGCCATGAAAATTAAATTCAAACGAGCATATTTTAGTTTATTCAGAGCCCTGTATCCTGTGTAGCACCCTAACATAACATTGCATTAATGTTATCCAACGTGATCCAAAGCAATCTAACCCTCCGTCCTAATCCAATCCGAGTTACCAAACATGGCCTGAGGAAAAAATTTAAGAGGATTTCAGACGCTAGACACACTAACCCATGCACACACGCGTAACTCGCTCATGAAACCAATTACCAAAAAAGTTAATATTCCCCACAATTTATCACATTAAATTCCCTTGCATACCAAAAGCAGTGGAAGTTATCGAATCAACACACGAAAATTAGTGAAAAATAAAGGTTAGAGAAGGAGAAGAAAAATATAATACTCTAATTATGACAAGCACATAATGAAGGGGTATTCTTACCATGGAAACAACCAGAAAGCCAATAAACGTATCAAAAGAGAAATGCATTAAGTAAAAGTGTAAAACCACATAATACAATTTTGGATGCTAAGAGACAATACAAACCAGTTCATGTTTTCAGACTCAGCACTGTTGTTTAAAATCCATTTCTCCACAGTGCTACAGTCGACAGGACGGTGAGCTTCCTCTGTACACTGCACAGCCAAAACAAAATATGACTCACCTATATAGGTAATTGAAAAGAAAAGAAACCACCGATCATTTTTCAATATAGTAATTAAAATTGGTGATACTTTGGATGCGGTCCCTAATTCCTAACACTCTTTGACTAAAACCTTAATGGTATTCAAAGTTTGATCAAAGTCCCTTGAATTTGTACATCTCATTATATTACTATTGATATTTATATTTTTATAGTTTTGACATTAATTGTTTGATATTTTATGACATTTATAATCCTATAAATTTAAAATCCCTCATTATAATACTATTAAAAACGGCCACAGTAAAAAAATTCAAACATTTTGATTGAATAAATGGATAAAAACTATGTAACAATAAGAAATAATAGTGTTAAAAAAAATTGGTACATTTCTCATAGAACAAAGTGTTAAAAAAAAAAACAGATGGCAAAAGAATGTAGCAATAGTGTTAAAAAATTTGGTACATTTCACATATAACAAAGTGGTAAATTAGTAAAGAAGAACGGGTACATTATAAATAAATTAGGGTACAAATAAAAGTTTAAAAAATTATGAGTACAAATGAAATTTTAAAAAATATGGGCACAAAAAGAAATTAATACATGGGTACAAATTAAAACTAAAAATAAAATACTACAAATTTAAAAAAAGGTCGCAAATTAAAAGTGGGTACAAACTAAAAATATAAATATATGATACAAAGTTTAGCCATAAACATAAATATACCATATGTAATTTTTCTATCATAGAGTACAACTTTTTCTCCATTTGCCATTTAATGCATAGAAAATAAAACATGCACAATTGCATGCAAGCAAACACAAGGTCACGGTTGCTGCAATTTCCTTGTAGCATTCACATGGTCTTCAATTGTGGTCATATTGAAGACTAATACTATTCAAAAATTCCAAGCGTCAACTCCACGCTTGACGGGGAAGACTAGACCAACCGGGTCAGTCAACACTGGCACCATACGGCTTTTGATTGAGTTGAAAATCCTTTCAGAAATTCCAAGCGTAAAGAAAGAATTAGAAACTCTGCACCTCCAAAGTTGTTACTAGCTCCCATATTTATTTGTGACGCATACAAACTGGCGAAAAAACATATCATACTGCAACGAAAAAACCATGACATTTCTTTATATGCTCCTGCTGCTGTCCACATTGCCATTGATCAAACCGACATCAATATCTCCAAGAAAACAAGCAGAATCGCTCGTCAAATGGAAGGACGACTGGTCTTCATCATCATCGCCACCTTCGCTACTCAATTCATGGTCCCTCACCAACCTCAACAGCCTCTGCAACTGGACTGCCATTTCCTGCTCCAAAACCAGAACAATCTCCAAAATAGACCTCTCCAATATGCAAATTGACGGAACACTGTCCCTTTTCGACTTTTCCTCATTTCCAAATCTCACCCACTTCAATCTAAATGGCAACTATTTCTATGGGCCTATACCGTATACCATTGGAAGTCTCTGTAGGCTCACATCTTTGGACTTGGGCAACAACTTTTTTTATTCTCAAATTCCATCTGAGATTGACCAGGTAACAGAGCTTCAGTATCTAAATCTCCGCAACAACAGTCTCTCTGGTACCATCCCTCATCAACTGAGCAATCTCCAAAAGGTACGGTACATGGACCTTGGATTAAACTCTTTTATCTATGCTGATCAAGATTGGTCAGAATTTGCAGGCATGCCTTCATTGACCTACCTTGCTATGTCTATGAAAGGTGATTATCTATATCATTCAGAATTCCCAGAATTTATATCTCAATGCCGGAACTTGACGTTCCTCGACTTGTCTCAAAATAATTTGAATGGCCAAATTCCACCTTCGATAGGCCAACTCAGAAAGCTCCTGTACCTTGATCTTTCATACAACTCCTTAGACTCTTCTATCCCTTCTGAGCTCGGTCTTTGTACAAACCTCACCCACTTGTTCCTAGCTTCCAATCAACTCAACGGGGAACTGCCTATGTCCTTGTCCAATCTGAACAACCTCGTCGAATTGAGTTTACCTAATAACCATATCTCTGGCACGATTCCACCTTGGATAGGCCAACTCAGGGAGCTCCAGTACCTTAATCTTTCATACAACTCCTTAGACTCTTCTATCCCTTCTGAACTTGGTCTTTGTACAAACCTCACCCACTTGTCCCTGGCTTCCAATAAACTCGATGGGGAACTGCAACTGTTCTTGTCCAATCTGAACAACCTCGTCGAATTGAGTTTAGCTAATAACCGAATCTATGGCACGATTCCACCTTCGATAGGCCAACTCAGGGAGCTCCAGTACCTTAATCTTTCATACAACTCCTTAGACTCTTCTATCCCTTCTGAACTTGGTCTTTGTACAAACCTCACCCACTTGTCCCTGGCTTCCAATAAACTCGATGGGGAACTGCAACTGTTCTTGTCCAATCTGAACAACCTCGTCGAATTGAGTTTAGCTAATAACCGAATCTATGGCACGATTCCACCTTCGATAGGCCAACTCAGGGAGCTCCAGTACCTTGATCTTTCATACAACTCCTTAAACTCATCAATCCCTTCTGAACTTGGTCTTTGTACAAACCTCACCCACTTGTCCTTGTCTTCCAATAAACTCAATGGGGAACTGCCTCTGTCCTTGTCCAATCTGAACAACCTCATTGAATTGGGTTTAGATAATAATCTATTTACTGGTCAAATCCTTCCTTCCCTGGTCTCCAATTGGATTCATATGGAATCTTTGCAACTTCAGTCCAATGAACTAAGTGGGAAGATTCCGACGGAAGTTAGAAATATGGGCTTTCTGTTGACGCTTAATCTAAGAAGGAACCACTTGACAGGAGTGATCCCTCAGATTCTAGGCAATTTAGCTCAACTTGACCTGCTCGATTTGTCACACAACCATCTTTCGGGGCAAATCCCATCATTTGTCAACAGGTTTTTTCCTCATGGTTTTAATTTTTCTTATAACAACTTGACTGGCCGAATCCCATGCGATTTAGCATGGGCACCAGAAAATGCTTTTGTTGGAAACTCTGGGTTGCATGGGTATGATGTAGACTCGTGTGTAGACGGTATACCCCCTCGACACAACAGAAATTTCAAAAAGGATAACAAAAGAGTTCTAATTGGTATCCTTATGCCTGTTTGTGGTTTATTAATGGTTACAACTGTCATTGGTCTTATGTTCCGTAAAAAATCCAGTCTCGTTTTGAACAAAGTCAACACTTCTGAAAACTTTGAGATTTTGGAGTCAATGATATTGCAAGAGGAAGTAAAGTTTACGTTTGCGGAAGTTGTGAAGGCTGTAGATGACTTTCATGAGAAGCACTGCATTGGGGCAGGAGGGTTTGGAAGGGTTTACAAGGCAGAGTTGCAATCAGGCCAAGTTATTGCAGTTAAAAGGCTTAACATGTCAGACTCTAATGATATTCCAGCAATCAATCTCCATAGCTTTCAGAATGAAATCCGAACTTTGACAAGCATCCGGCACCGGAACATCATAAGGCTCTATGGCTTCTGTTCAAGAAGGGGGGGTTGCATATTCCTGCTTTATGAATACTTAGAGAGAGGAAGCCTGGGAAAAGCTTTGTATGGAGTTGAAGGTGTTAATGAACTTGTTTGGGCTACTAGAGTCAAAATTGTGCAAGGACTTGCTCATGCACTTTCTTACTTGCACCATGATTGCTCTCCACCAATTGTGCACCGTGACATAACCGTCAACAATGTATTGCTTGAGTCTGATTTTGAGGTTCGTCTCTCAGATTTCGGAATAGCCAGGTTATTGAGTACAGATTCATCCAACTGGACAGATATCGCTGGTTCATTTGGCTACATAGCACCAGGTAATGTAAACTTAATTTGTACATTCATGGTTCATCTTTTTGCTTATTGGGATATGTTTTAAGGTAGCCAGTTTTGTTTTTATTGATGTGCAGAGCTTGCATACACTATGCGAGTCACGGATAAATGTGATGTATATAGCTTTGGAGTGGTGGCGCTCGAAGTCATGATGGGAAGGCACCCAGGAGATATGCTAGAGTCCCAACTACAAGAATCATCAAAATCAAGGAGGGACAATGTAGAATTGCTCCTGAAAGATTTGTTAGACCAAAGGTTGGAACAGCCAACCAATGAATCTGCAAAGGCAGTGGTGCTTGTAGTGACAATGGCCTTGGCCTGTGTACGAACGCGTCCAGCGTCCAGACCTACGATGTTATTTACGGCACAAAAACTCTCGGCTCAAACCCTGCCTTGCCTTCCCGAACCATTTGGTATGTTGACAATCAACAAGCTAATGGCACTATAAATAATAAAACAAAAAAAAAAAAAAAGGGCGAATAGCTCAAACTTCCCTTTTATATTCCTGCCACTCGCAATTCCATCTAATTTCTCATGTAATACATCTTCAGTACTGTAATTACTTATCTGTATGATTTGTCGAATGTGGATTAATGTGTGATGAATTTTCTTAATCGTAATTGCATTAAACTGATAATCCATAATGTGTCAAAATAACTCCACAATTAATAAAAAAACTTGAATTATGGATTTGTGTCCTTCCTCTAGTTCAAAGAGCTACCCTAAAAATTTGAACCTGCATGGATCATTTTCGCCATGGATTATTTTGAAAGCAAACACATATGGAACTACAGGATGCAATCTGACCATGCATCTTTGAACCATGTCGCGCGTCGAAGTACATTTGATCTTACAGGCATTCTTAAACTTTTCCGCTATGTCGAATATAGGTTTGTGCCTTTCCTCTCTAAATCTGCAACAGCCAGAACTGCTTTCACATTCACACTACAGCACAATAGAAGACACTTTGACACGACAATCTGTTAAATTAGCAAATGGGGAAGGTCCCTGTGGCTTTGGAACCATCCACATAATGATAAAACAAGCATGGCTTCTGTGCGTGAAAATTTCTCGCAAAACTAATAAACAAGAAAAGAGAATGCAGCAATAGGGATTACAGTGAAATGTAAACAACCCACAAATAAGTTGACTCTGCAGAAGTTGCTGAAATGTAAACAACCCACAAATGAGATGTCACCCTTATTGCGTTGGACTTCTATTGTCAGGTGATACTTTCAGGCCACGCTTTGCCTTAAACCGACTGTATATGATTGTTAAAAGACCAACCAAGACTGTTATAAGCGTCCAGATTTTCACTTTGTGGTTCATTCATCTACGCAATGAGAAACGTTCTACAATCGAACTAACAAAGAGACGCATGCAGTAAGAAATCATCTTCGTTGAATTCTGAATCAACTCGCTTGTGTACATCAAACTCAGCAAGGCCCATGTTATACTTATGCCCTTCCGGGGTGACATGGAAAAGTTATTCCAGTTTGCTTCTGAATTCCAATCAGTTTTCTGCTCAAACGGCCAGAAAAGCGATTCATCAATAGTAGTTAGATCTTCCAAATCTTCAGCTTCAGAAGCATGTCCTAATGCAAAATCACACCAGAATTAGATGACTGAAAGTTATGACCCCACCAACTACTTCTGTAAGATGGGCTGGGAAAATCAGACAGAAACCAATCTGACTTTGAATCTGTACCCGGCCTCCAAATCAAATCTCAAAGATCATCATCATGTTTTCTCTCACTACCTCTCTATCTGACCCTGCAGTGCAGCAGGGCAGACGCCTAACAAACTGCAAAACCACAATCGACACTTTGAAGAACTCTTCAAAATGAGATAATTTTAATACACTTCACCACTTCATACCGAAAAGTGCATACATAGACAGCATGAAACAACAAATATGCCACAATTTGAAGCATGAAAAGGCAAGCATACCTTGCCTGAAGATAAGATACTATTGGAGGGAGGAACAGAAAAAGGTAGGTGCATTGGCCCTCCTTGCAATATATACTTCTTGACTGTACATAAATTTGAAGGTCAATAATGTCGAATAAGAAACAAGAGTATAAAGCATAGAAGGAAGCCTTGTTCAATTCGACAAAGACAGACTTTTCTGCAATCTAAAATCACGACCTATGAGTGCCATGTGCACCATCATCGTGTACTCTCTTAATACCTGACGCGGAAAACAGGAAATTGATGACCCTTTGCAAATTTTGAATATTAAGATAGTTTATATTACTTGTTCATCTTAGTGTGTCTCTATGCATGCCAAACGATAACAAACATAAAAATAAAGCAGACACATCAGAAATGCAATTGAAGGCATTTCTTTCAAATGATCAAAATGACAGTCAAATATTGGCTGTGAGGATTGTCATGCTCTCACAAATGGGACATACATAATATCAGAAACATCAACAGCTACTGAAACTGAAAACCTAAGAGACAGTAGCTTTAAAAACTAGTACCACATGATGAAGAAATCTACACCAAAAGAACTGCAAGTACACAGGAAACAGCATGTGAGCTCCGCATCCTACCTCGTACTTAAAGAGATGCAATTTGTAAAGAAAGAATAAAGTGCTTCATGTTTTTAGAATCACGACCATCCTGTTGAGCAGAGAAATTAAAGAACTCATAGGGAATCGATGTGAAAACGAAGTGCTGGTTGTTGACTACTTGACGCCCTTCCCCTCCTCCTTTATCCGGGCTTGGGACTGGCAGCGTAAGATAAACTTACACAGGCGGAGTTAGAGAAATAAAGAACTGTAAAAAGAAAATCAGTTATGGGCAAGATGTCAAGACCAATAGAACTGTAAAAGCAAAACGGTCCAAAAACACAACTAAGGACAACAGCGAGAAACTTGCATTGCTGGTCCATAACAGAACGTGACATATCTAATATAGACTAAGGTATGAATACTAAAAATTAAACAGAGAAAACTTACATTCCACAAAAAAAATCCATAAAAACAGTGGCAAGAAACTTGATAATTGTCCTTATCGTCAACAAAACTATCAACACGTTCACAAACTGACACAAAAACTTAACACACCATGTTACCATCCAATTCAAGCACAATACGCAGAACATGCACATGCTCAGAAGCCACACGTGCAGAGGGAGTAATTCAAAGGAAAAGAAAACATTAATTTGATTTTCAAATTTAGTATAGTAATTGAAATCATCAACCTTGAAACCTTTTGTCAATAAAAATAAAAAGAAAGTAAGATACTTGGGTGCAAAAGAAATGTATTATAAAGCATTCACTGCATTAAAATTGGAAACAATCCTAGAAGCACATACATACACATGACTGGGGGAAACACGGTAGACCTGAGGTGCAGCAAAATGAAAGGCACGCAATGGATCAGTACGGCAGAGAAGAAGGCCCAGGTAATCACCTATACCAAATTTGTTAATTAACTAATGAACCAAAAGAAATCAGAGCATATATACTAAGAACGGAAATAAAATCTTTACTGATCATAACTGTGCTTCTATATGCACGCCATGGAAATTAGACAGCAGCTGTCACCTCTACGTCCCTCTATTGATCATTCGCAGAATCGCTCATCCACAAACAGTCTGTCCAGTAATTGAACCCATCTAACAGTTGGCTGAATTCGTCAATTTGAGGCCACTCCTGGGGCAATTTACCTTCAAGCGTTGTCAACCATTCTTTAATGTCTCCACGCACTGCTTCACCATCTAAAGGATATTCCCTGCCGCCCAAGAATATCGGAGAAGAAGGAACATCACTCATCAGTGGCACATATTCATGATCTGAAATATGAGTGGGAAAGGGCATCACATTTCCATTAATGTAGCTTATGCACCCCTGGTCGTGATTGCTAGTGTCGCTGTCCAAGCATATGGGATAAGAAGGAACATCACTCATCAATATCACACTATCCGGATCAGAGAAATCAGTCGGCTTCATATTGCCGTTAATGTTGGTTATGCACTCCTGATCATCATACCTAGTGTCAGTAATCATATTGCTTTCAATTCCAACAAAAGGCACAACAGCAGGGGTATTGGTGATCACATTCACATTAGAATGTTTTTGTGAACCCGGTTCTTTTCTTGCTCTCTTTCTCTTAATCAGCGGCTTCTCATTCGATACTTCTTTTCTTGCCCTCTTAATCGGTGGCTTCTCATTGAAGTCGTGAGTTGGACTTGAGGAATTCATCTTGCTTCCACACCTAGACCTCAGATTCCTTTTAAGTCGGGAAAGAACGACCTTTGGGCCAGCAACTACATTAGGAAGAAGACTGTATTCTTCTAACAGCCAGCCGCCATTGTTATTAGAACCCTTGTTGTTATACCTGAAATGCCCTTTATCCCCGATTGGAATTCCGTCCAAACCTAAAACTTTGTCGGAGGATGTTTCGCTCCAAGTGCCTCCGGCTTCAATCTGGCGTTTGCTGCGGCTATCGCTGTCACTTCTAGAACGCAGCTCGTAGAAGAAGAACAAGTCCTGATCGAGTAGGGAATTTCCGCCGAACTGCTCCCAAACCACCCACGGTGGTGTTTGTCCGAAGAGATTGAACTCTTGAATAAACGGCTTGCCCAAGGGCTTTCCGGAGAGGGCTCTGTCGCGAAGATAGGAACTGACCAATTCTTGATCAGTAGGATGAAACCGAAAACCCAATGGCATACCGTAATAACCCACCTCCATAGCTAAACGCGATTTCAATTGAATGCAATTCAAAACAAAACAAATGCAGCAGCAAAAACCCTAATTTTTTCTTGGGCACAAAATAAAGAAGAGAAAATAAGCGAGAAATTAAAGAGAAGAAAAAGGGAAACCTGGAAGCCGATTTCGCTCGCTCGCCGAGGAGAGCAGCTCGTCGACGTCTCCTCAATCGCGGTCTTGGTCCCCAAACAAGAGCAACCGAAGAGGAATCGATTTCGAGTATTCGTAATTCAATTCAACCGGAGACTGTTGGAGCACTGAATTCTAATTCTGGTTCAAATTCGGACGCGCAGAGAGAGCGAGAGAGAAAGATCTTGAGAGAGAGAGAGAGAGAGAGAGAGTGAGTGGATTTGAAATTTAAATGGAAGAAAATATGACCGTTTGGTTTGGGAATTGGATGTTAACGTTGCGAACTTGCAAGGCTCACCGCTTAAGCGCGGGTTTAATCACGTGGCATTTTCATATCCACCACACCCTATACCCCCAAATTGTGAGCCGAATGACTAAAATAACGCAGGGAAAAAAAAAAAAAAAAATCCATTGGTTTAATCACGTGGCATTTTTACTTATTGGCCCATTTGTTTTTCTGCTGGGTCCAGTTCTTTTGGTTATCTGGCATTTTATTGTCAATTTTTTTAGATTTTTATATTAAATTAATGAACCCAAACATTTAAGGGTGAAAGTTGGATTGAAAGTTGATTACGACACGAAAAAGATTTGTTTCATATTTGTATTCACATAGCATTGCATGATTGACACGAGAAGCTATTGTCACGATGTTTCTATGTTCAAGCCACAGTTACGATTTCCTATGATTGACACGATAAGCCATAGTCACGATGTTCACATAACGTTGCATATTCATTTTTCATAGGAGTAACAAGATTTTCTCCCAGCTCTAATACACCTTTTATGTTCTTCCTGTCCAAAACTATGTTGGAGAAGATTTCATAAGAAACATGTCCGGAATCAGTCATTAGCAGATTGATTATTCATGAAACGAAACGTAGATGTCGAAACAAACAGTGATAAACTGAGTACTACTGTTCGCCAACGTCTGAAAATTGAAACAAAAACTAGTGTGCTGAAAGAAATGACAAGAACAAAAGCAAATGCAATCAGAACTATTGGGAACTTCATGTACATTCATACGTATATTGTCCACACATTTCCTCAAGATTGACAAAAGTACGGAGTAAGACCACCAGCTAGACAAAATAACAGATTGAAAACTATTCTATCCACAACAATAACAACAACAAAGCCTTTTCCTACTAAGTAGGGTCGGCTATATGAATCCTAGAACGTCATTGCCCTCGGTTCTATGTCACGTCTTCCGTGTAAATAAAAAGACTGAAAACTAATAAACTAACTATGATTAAACCGGAAGTCGGAAAGAAAAAGCTGAAAGGTAACCGTGCTCATCTGAATTCTTGAACTCTACTAGTAGTATAAAAACAAGAGATGACGCTAATAGCTTGACAACTTGATTCAGGCAAGGCGTGTATACTCCGTGTAAAGTCCTCTTCCTCTTGCCCCGCTTCTAGATGATGATGATGGTGAGCAAGCAAATCAAGAGAAAATGGAGAACCGAGGCCCGTGGCCTTCCTATGTTTCCAACCACAACTGGAAAAATAATGACTTGAAAAGGAGGGAACGGGATGATGGTGATGAGCAGAGTAGTGTGATCAGGCTCAGTAGCTTGATGTACATGATCTTGATTTGGGTCTTCATCATCCTTTCCTCCAATATGATTAAAGAATTCAGTGATCAAGTCCTCCTCATCATCCAACTCTCTTTCATCCGCGGTTCTTGGCCCCTCCTCAATCTCGTGATGATGATGACTGAGATGAGTAGTCAGCCGAGGCACAACAGCAGCCTCGTCTGCAGCAGAGGCCGCAACAACAGAATTAGGCAGAAGCTCAAAGTCATCAATTAAGGATCTTAACAGATCATCATCCAAGCAATCATTTGCTTCGGTGGTGCTGCTTGAGGACCCCTCGTGATGAAGTAGATCATCAAGCTCCCTAATCGAGTCCTTCGTTACCAAAAGATCATCATCCGAATCATGAGTCCTCTGCCTCTTGACCGTATCACCCAAAACCGTAATCAGGGAAACGCGGACGCTTGAGAGAAGAGACAGTGAGCCTCAAATCTTGACCCCTCATCTCCAATTTTCCAATTTCTTCACGAAACACAAGACAAACAGACGAAAGCGGTGTGCTTTCTGCGAAAACCAAAAACTGTTGAATGTTTGATGTATATTTCATGTCTGAAAAACATTACACGATGCAACATATATGGGAGAAGAAAAAAACGTGAAGAAGAAAGGAGGACCATGGCAGCTAAGCCAACATAATGATGACCTCCAATCCCACTAATCTTAATCTATTATCTAACTTTAGCTTTACAGTGAAGAAGGGCCGAAAGCAATGGATAAAAACAATAGATGATGGAGGACCGAAAGCAACAGCTAAACACCAACAGCAGCTGAGCTGTTATCCACCCTACTTTTAATAATGACACATCCAATACTCCCCCTCAAGCTGGATCCAAAAGGTTGATAGATCCAAGCTTGCCAAGAAGAAGCTGAAACTGATGAGAGGCCAATGATTTTGTGAATAGGTCCGCAAGTTGATCTGAGCTCCTTACAAAATGCGTTTGGATAACCTGAGATTGAACTTGTGTACGAACATAGTGACAATCGACTTCAATGTGCTTGGTTCTCTCATGAAAAACTAGGTTGGAAGCAATGTGCATTGCAGCCTGATTGTCACAGAAAAGGGACATGGATTGATGATTGAAAACACCTAAGTCACACAGTAAACCTTTGAGCCAGATTAGTTCACACGCAGTAGATGCCATTGCCCGATATTCTGCCTCAGCACTGGATCTTGCAACGACAGTTTGTTTTTTGCTTTTCCATGAGACAAGGTTGCCTCCCACAAACGTGCAAAATCCCGTTGTAGACTTACGATCAATGGAATTGCCAGCCCAATCTGCATCACAATAACCTGTAATCTGAGTGCTTGCATTTTTCTTCATGATTATACCACGTCCCACAGAACCTTTTAGATACCGAAGTATCCTTTTGACTAGGTTAAAGTGCTCCATCGTGGGAGAGTGCATAAATTGGCTAACAATACTGACAGCATAGGTAATGTCGGGCCTTGTGATGGTCAGGTATATCAACTTACCAACCAACCGCTGATAATAACTTATGTTTAGAAGAGATTGACCCTCTAAGCTGACCTTAAGTTTAATGTCAAGAGGTGTAGGGACCGGTTTAGCATCACTCATGTTTGCTTCCTTAAGGAGATCCAGAACATATTTGCGCTGGTTAAGGAAGAAGCCCTTGTGAGATGTAGCCATTTCGATGCCAAGGAAGTATCTCAGAACACCAAGATCTTTTATTGCAAAACGTTGCTGAAGGGAGTGCTTGAGTTCTTTGATTTCTTCAGGGTTATCTCCGGTGATGATCAAGTCATCAACATACACAAGAACAACCAATGTACCAGCGGTGCCTAAGCGTACAAATAAAGAAGAGTCCGCATTGCTTCTTCCAAAACCAACACTGATAAGGACTGAACTGAGCTTAGCATACCAGGCTCTCGGTGATTGTTTAAGACCATAAATTGATTTGTGCAGTTTACACACAACATCCTGTTTATGACTTTGAGAGTGACCCGGTGGTAATCTCATGTAGACGTCTTCTTCAAGCTCACCATGTAAGAAGGCGTTTTTTTACATCCATTTGATACATAGGCCATCCTTTGTTGACAGCCACAGACAAGAGTACGCGCACTGTGTTCATCTTTGCAACGGGGGCAAAGGTTTCCTTGTAATCCACATCAAATGTTTGAGTGAAGCCACGGGCCACTAATCGTGCCTTGTGTCTTTCAATAGACCCATCCGAGTTGAATTTAATCTTGTATATCCACCTGCAGCCTACTATCTTCTTTCCTTTGGGCAGTGGCACAATGCTCCAGGTTTTATGTTGATCGAGTGCATGCAGTTCATCCTGCATTGCTTGCTGCCACACTTGGGATTGGTTAGCTTCTTGAAATGATTGAGGCTCTTCATGCGCAGATATATTACTCAAATAGGCAGTGTAATTGTGTGACAACTTTTGATAAGAACAGTAGTTGGATAAGGGGTGCTTGAGCTTGTACGTAATAAAGTCTTGCAGTCTTGCTGGTGGGTGCCTCTCACGAGTTGGATTTCGTCGAGGTATGGTAGGAAGAGACTCTTCTGAAGGTTCTTCAGGACCAATACTACGTAGAGTTTCATCTTCTACAGGCATGTTGCTGTCGTCATATGAATCCGGTTGATTTGGAGCCACAAGATCCATTGTGTGAGTTTGATCACCCGCATTGTTGAGTATCTCAGTCCTTGGCAGTGGAAACATGTCCAAGATAATCTCCCCCTGACTTGTACTATCCAGAGACTTACTGTAATAAGAGTTAGTTTCATGAAATTGAACATCCTTTGAAACAATTAATCTCTTAAGTTGTGGATTATAACACTTATACCCTTTTTGTGTGGACGAGTAGCCAAGGAAAATGCATTTAGTTGCCCTAGGATCAAGTTTGTCTCGATGTAATGACTGAACATGAACAAAACAGATGCATCCAAAGACTTTAAGGTGAGACAAGTCCACCTTTCTGTTCTTGACTATCTCCATTGGGGATTTGAACCCCAAAACCCTACTAAGTAATCTGTTGATCAGGTAAGTTGCTGTCATGACGCTTTGAGACCAAAAACGTTTTGGTACATTCATTTGTAACATCAATGCCCTAGTTTTTTCAAGGAGATCTCGGTTTTTTCTCTCGGCAACACCATTTTGTTGGGGTGTGCCAACACAGCTAGTTTGATGTATGATGCCATTGTTGCTCAAATATTGAGTCATGACTTGGGACATGTATTCTGTGCCATTATCAGACCTTAGGGTTTTGATTTGAGAAGAAAAATGATTTTTGACAAGGTTGTGAAAGTCCTTAAACACTTCCATCACCTCACTTTTTTATTTTAATAAA